CTCACCCAAGAACAGACAGAATAAGGAATCATCCCAAAATAAAAAGTTGTGCCCTATGAGAATAATTCTCATCCATCATATAAAAACACGTGTATAGGGTTGTTATTTATACTGGGTCTCTTTTCTTATTTTGCTTTTTTGTAGCCTATTTTATATAGGGGTGTCACGGGTCGGGTTTGGGTCGAACTCGAAACTGACCCGACACTATTCAGGTCAACCCGAACCCGAATCGTTTTTAAAAACGGGTCAGTTTTCCTAACCCGAACCCGAACCGCTTCGGATCCGGGTCAACCCAACACGACCCGAATGACCCGTTTCCAATAAAAAATTGCTAGTTTTTTGGTCAAAAACGGGTCTATCTCCTCTTTTTCGGGTCAAAAACGGGTCTAACCCTTCTTTTTTGGGTAAAAAACGGGTCAATCTCGGGTTGCCGGGTCAAAGGGTTAACCCGATCCCGACCTGAATTTTGAAACGGGTCGAAATGTTGAACCCAAACCCGACCCGTTTTGGGTTCAGGTTAAACGGGTCGAAATGTTGAACCCGAACCCAACCCGTTTCGGGTTCGGGTTGACCCTAACCCGAAATTTTCGGGTCGGGTTTGAGTCGGGTTTTCGGGTCGTGTCAAATATTGACACCCCTAATTCTATAGCTTTCATATCCTCATAAATAAGAAGAGAAATAGAACTATTTTGAATATTTTGAAATATATTTGAAGCTTTATTGAGCTAGTAGAGCATTTTTCCTCTGACGAACAAATTGAAATCCAACAAATAATAATAATAAAAAAATTAAGGCTGTAACTATTTCCTTTTCCCTCATGTTCTTATATTAACACGGGCAAGATCCCAACAATTGATATACCCCTAATAATATATTCTCACATGACATCCACATCAAATAAAATAATTTCTTCTTAATAAATACAAAGATCCAGAAGAAAGCAAGAAAGAAAAAAAATATTTAGCCCACACAGATTTATAAGAAATATTGCATTCTATTAAAATATTTAATTTTGTTAGTTAAATTTGGAGAGGAATATCCTGAGCTAAAATCTCAACCAAAGTTTGTGAGGTGCACGTGATTTCGATTTGTTTTAAAGCTAATAATGGCTTATAATTGATTCAAACCGAACTAACAACTACACTAAACCAAACACCAATGGATGCAATATTGCAAATCAAAGAGAAACAGATCGATTTGATTTAATATTTTTATCTGGCATTGCAAGAATGCCCTGATAATCATTGAGATTTTTCAACAATCGGGGCAATAATAATGTAATAGTTATTCTTTTGTTTTGCGCAACCGAATGGGCCTAAAAAACATCCTTATATGCACTCTTACATCCTTTTTCTAGCCCCAATAAGTTTTTTTTTTTTTTTAATGTTTTGGTGCCCTTTGTGGCAAACTGTTAGACCAGTCCAGCCGGTCTGACGGGACCGGCTTATGCGAATATTGACGGATATTTCTGCCTCCTGTACACACTGAATGCATGCCCGAGCGTGTGTGAGCAGTTTATGAAGGATTTTTGAGGGAGTAAGGAGGGAAATTTGAATGTAGTGATTGTTTAGGGATTTCCTTTTGATTTGTATGCATTAAATAGTTTGTTTTCCTAGGGTTAAGACTTTTGAATTTGGTTAAATTTTGAGATCTTATAGGTTTTCTTTGGGCTCTAGCGGTGTCTAGAGATTTGAGAGAGATCGATCCTCGTCTCTAATAGATGATCAATTGAATCTTGTTATTTTCTTACAATAAAATTACAGTTTTTCACTGATTTTTCAAATAGAATCGTAGAGATTTCTCGTAGTTTTTGCTCTCTTGATGGGATTTACTTGAAATCTTCAAGTGTTTCCTATCACAAACTCCACACTGTAATCTCATTTCAATCAAGACAAATGTATTCTAATTGGATTAATTGCAAGACAACTCTTTTTATTTTACAAAGTTTGTTTAGTTATTATTTTGATGCTCTGATGCTCTGATGCTCAATACTAACTACAACCGAATGCATCTGTTTGCTTTTTTACACTGAATGTAGGATCATGATTGATACATCATTATCAAAATTTCATAACCGGGCACAAATCTCGGGATAAAATCAAGTTGGAAAATTCCAAAATTAAAATTGGGACCATCCGAGCTCTGATTTCAACAAACTTATAGTCAAATTGAATGCATCGGAAAAATGAACCCAACGACATCAAATTTGACTCAATCCGAGCACCAATGGATCCATATCAAGGACCCAACACTACATGAAATTTAGGCATTACTGACGGTATTGTAAAAAACCGGTGGCTTTTCGACGGTACAAAAATCGCCGGTATAAACCGCATTGAAAACAATTTTCAGCGGCCTATTTTTGGTGGTTTAGTCACCGGCAGCTTTCCAGCGGCAGGGATGGCCGGTAATTTCCGGCGGTTGTAACGTCGGTGAACGCCAGTTAGTTACCGATGGCGTACCAGTTGTCAAAACAGTCGGTAAAACCGGCGGCCAAACCGCTGGCGCATCGCTTGTGACAGGTGACAAAACAGTCCAACCGTACAACCCATCATGCATCTTAAATTTTTTATTCCTTTCATCCATGAGAAGAATTTGGATTTGATTTTATCCAATATTTAAGTAAATTTAGAAAATATAGAGGATCAGTGCAATTGATCTATTAAGTCTTCTATATGTGGAATGAGAAGTATGAGCAAGAAGAAAATAGATGAAGTCAAAAATAAAAGTTTTAGAATGAGAATGAATGAGCAAGCTAGCTTCCAGTCAGTATCACATGATTTAAACCCTAGATTTAAATAAAAATTGGGTTGCATTTGAGTCACCTTCAGTCGGAGGGAGCTTGTCGTCGCCGAATTCCTGCGAGGTACTCAGAGGCGCGAGAAGGGGGCGAGCGTCTGAAGCTGCGAGAGAGAAGTGCGAGGAAGTGAGGAGGAAGGCTCGGGATGGGTTAATTTAGGGCTTTTTTCGGCGGTTTAGACCACTGGAAATTAATTACTTAATACCGACTGTCCTAGCCGCCGGTATTAAATTAAACCGGCGCCACACCCCGCGGTTATTAAACCGCTGCTAATTCCGGTCGCTGTTTATTAAAGATCGCCACTGAAATCGTTGGTATTACCGATAGTTGTTTATTAAGCACCGCCGGCGAAATTGTCGGTATTACCGGCGGCAACAGGACCGCCGGTCGTAGCAGCCAGTAATAGCTGACTTTTCTGTAGGTGAAGCGATGTTGGAAGGTTTAAACCACAATTTGGATTACTAAACAATTTCTAAACGTGACATGCTTATAGTAGAATCGAGCGGCTCGACGAGATGAATCCAATGAGCCCAAGATCATGGAATTCCAACATCATTAAGACCTTCAAATGCATAATGAATGATCCACGATCAAGGGATTCAACATCGACCGTACATCAAAACCACTCATTTACCCTTGACCTTCCTCTTATTTACGAGCCACGCCATTCTAAGAAATCTAAAATTAGATCCCTCTTCCTCTTGAAAAAGGACCCCTAAGCCTAAGAGAAAAGAGAGAGATTGGAGATGGCTCTTGCCTCCTCGACCACCGCCTAGAGTTCCACCAGACCACCACCTGAGACCCAGAGTTCTCTCAGACCACCACATGAGGCCTTGAGCTCCGCCGGACCAAAACCTGAGGCCTGAACTTCTGCCTGACCAGCACATAACGCCCGGAGTTTTGCCAAACCATCTCCAGGCTACCAACTGACGTCCGAATTTTCATGTAACGTCGGACTTTATCCAGTCCACCTAGTGACGTTGGACTTTCATCCTTAATTTTCACTTAGATTTCAACCATACAGTTGACATTTGTAATATGATGGCCCTCAGGGATGAATCAACCCACTGTAATCTACCCAAACACTAGTAGAATCATTTCAGCTGGGCAAGACCCCCGTGATTTTTCTCCTTTCCAAGGCTTTCCACGTAAAAAAACTTATATTTTCTGTATGTGAGCTGGATATCCGTACAACCCTAAAACGTAATATTATAACTCTATCGCCGCGTATATTCTAGCCCGCAGCAATGATAAACAATATATTTTCAACCCCTTCTTAAATAAACTTCACGAAAAGATGTGATGTCTAAAATAGTGCATTAATTTCACAAGAATGACAAATTTTTGTTCATTTAGGTAGTTCATCACAATGACATATCAATATTATGGTCTTCTAAATTAAATTTCAATTCACTCTGATTCAATCTTACTTTTAAAGTCACTACACCTGCTTCCATGCTGATGCACTGTTTAGAAAACAAAATCTGTTGGATACAGCACAGAGTATCCGACAGTTCCTGGAACTAACAGCCAGCAGAAGTTACTCTAAAACCAGTGATCTTTCAAATCGTTATTAGAGGCTTTCAGATCATTAGATACAAATAGACCAAGCAACTAAAACATCAAAGGGAAGCCAAATTCACGCTTTACTTCATTTGGATAATTAAAAGGGATTGAAGGAAGAAGGAGAAGACGAACTGACCATCTTTCCGTGACGAAGAGGAAGCCACGTACAAGAGCGATCGAAAGGAGCAAAGGAGGTGCCTTGAAGAAGAAAAATATTAGAGATTACAGCTCAAAGGCGACTTTTAAAAACTGGCCTCTTTTTGATTATTTTGTGAGGATGCCGAACACAATTTATCATTCAGAGATCAATCAGAATGCTTCACGTCAGCAATATAGAGCACGGTACCGAACGGAGATGACGTGGCCCATTCTGATTGCTATCTGGATAGCATTCAACGTCCGCAGAGAATTATTTGCCTACTAACTTGTGCTTATTTCAGTAGGTGGAATTAAAATTTCTTTTACCCCAATTCTGCAAACAAAAAGGGAAAAAATGGATAATAATTGATCATGAGCGATGAATTTTAATTTATTAAATTTATTTTGAGATGAATATTACAATACAAATTTAATTAAATATTTGTATTATATATTCATTTTAAAATAAATTTAATAATTTTAAAACCTACCCTTATAATACCATTAGTCCTTACGCAACTTTTTCTTCAAACAGAAAGACGGAGGTAAAAATACGCTCCTCCATCTCCCCAGCGACGAACTCACTCATCGTCATCAAACTTCCACAGTTTTTCCCCTTCCGAAACCTCCAGCACTGATTCTTCCGTCTCCGGCGAACTCATCCTCGGCGGGCTCACCAGCATGCCTTCCGCCATATTCGCCAACAGCAACGGCATCTCAAATAGTTCCTCCTCGTCCACAAACTCACCTCCTTCCGCCTCCCTCTTCATCTCCAGTAACGGCTCCGATCCACCTGCGCCGCTTCCACCAGCTCCTCCAGCATCAAGCCTCGCCTTCAACTCCGCCGCCGCTGCCGCCGCCGCAACCCTTATATCCGCTGCCGAACTCGACGCGGGAGCCGGCCGTGACTTGGCTGCTTCGGGGAAATTAAGCACCGCATCGGCCCCGCGTAGCGCGAGCGCCGCCACATCGTAAGCCACCGCGGCCATCTCTGGTGTTGGGTAGGTTCCAAGCCATATGCGGTTAGCCTTGCGCGGCTCCCGAATTTCGGAAACCCACTTACCGCTCCGCGAACGGATGCCACGGTAGCCCGCCGGCCGGTCTGAGCCCGGCGATGGAGCGGGCGGGTCCACGTCGTCGGGCTTTTGATTGGGGTCGGCCATGGAATTCTGATAAAAGCCGAGGGGAGGGAGATGGAAATATAAGCAGTGGCTGGCGAGCCGTGAGCGTGGAGACTGCGCGGCGAGGGCGCGGCCGCGGGACAGAAAGCGCGGGGATTAGCTGGCCCCTGCTTTGCTCTTCTATTTTTTTATTAGCGGGAGCCACTGCCTTCAAATCAATTTCCCATAAGAGTAATCGACTCATCAGCAACGCAGCGAATTTTTGCATTAAGAAGAAAGGTCGAGTGGGATCAATTAATAATTTGATATTTTTGCATTGAAACCAACCTTTAAAAGACTGCTAAGTCGTAAAATAATTCAGTAGTGCACGTATTGTATAAAGATTTTTTAAGTAGTTCGTAACATGCAGGCACGACTATCTTCGCGGCTGCTACTAAAATTTGGAGTCGTTAAGCTTGATTTGACACACATGTGATTTATAAAGTTCAATCAATTTTTTTTAAAAAATTTAAAAGTCAAAGTTTTTTGACTTATAGGGATTTATGACTATTAATAAAAAAAATTATAGAAAATTAAATAGAAATAGGGGTATGCTTTGAGTTGTTACTAAAGTTTCAAATCTAGTTATATAGCAGCTGTATTTGGGAATTTTTATTAGGTCCGGACATCTGACGTAGATCTACATCCGGACGTCAATAAAATGTCGCCACGTGCTCTTACTCTTTATCGCGCGGCCCGATGACCTGACCTGGACGGAACACGATATTGCTTGTATTAGTTGATTTGTACATACCAGTGTATTGCTAGGTTTTGCTCGGTAACAAGAAATACCATTATGTTAAGACCAATACCTAGCAATACCCCGTTTTTGCTAGGTATTGCTCGGTATTGATCTTGACAGAGTGATATTTCTTGTTATTGCCAAGCAATACATAGCAATACCGAGTAATACCTAGCGATACCGAGCAATACATAGCAATACACGAACATAACAATATCGGGTTTCCGTTCCAGATAGGGTCGTCGGGCTGCGCGGTAAAGAGTAAGAGCACGTGGCGAAATTTTATTGGCGTCCGGATGTAGAGGTACATCAGGTGTCCGGACCTAATAAAAATTCCTGTATTTGAAGGTGCGGATTTAAGCAGAAAGAAAAATAAATGGAAAGGTATATTTCTTATTTTAAAAATTTTAAATTTATTTAAATTAATTTATAAATATTTCACAAATAGTTTAAAAAAAATTCCTATTATTTTAAAAAGAAAAGAGGTTTAAGAATAATGGTAGGATACTGCTAAACCTTAACGATTCCTCGTTTAGAGTAACATTAACATTTGAATTCTGACTTCGTTATAACAATTCCACAAAATCAAAAGTCACCGATACATATGATGAAGTTAAAGATTGATTAGTATGTTGGGGGCTACTAAAGAAAAGACTTTAGCAACAATTTTAAAAGAGATTAGTGATAATTTTATGAGTTGTTTGGTTTGACAAAGAGAAATGCAAATATAAAGTAAAAGTAGTTAACTTCATTTAAAATATTTTTTTTGAGTTGTTTGGTTGAGTAAATTATAAAAGCATAATTTTATTCTTCTTTTTATTGAAGTAGACGAATACAAAGTAAAATATAAGTGTATTTAGAATAATAGTTGATTGGAGGTGGTTGATGATGAGAGCGGCGACATTAGTGGCGGGAGATGATAGGCAGTGTAACGTCCCATAATCAAATTTAAAAAAATTATTTATTTTATCTTTTTAATTAATCAATCAAAACAGAAAAAAAAGCGTTTACCTGCGGTTATATGACCACTCGAATTGCCGGTGGTTAAACCAGCTGCCTGATCACCGGTCAGTATTAACCGGCAGTTTATCCGGTGGTGTTTAATAATACACCGCCAGAATTATCGGTGGTATAATAACCCCCCAGGTATGCCGCCGATTTTCTAATTTCGTGGCGCCTTTACCGGGGGCCAAGCCACCAGTGTTAAGTAATTTTTTTTTCCCGGCGGTCAAAACCATCAGAAATCGACCTAATATTTGCCAAACCGAACCTTCCTCCTCATTTGTTTGCATATCCTTTTCTCTAGACACTAGCGCTCGCGATCACACCTCTGACTGCCTCTGCTGGAATTCGACCGCCGACACCCTAATTCCGGCCGACAATCTTGCCCTCGCTCCAGCCGCCGATTATATGCATTGTTTATTGCAGAACATATGCATTTCTCTTTGTTTAAACACTTGGCTCTGCTTATTATGGATTTTGATTTGTTGATTGTGTTTTGCTATTGAATGTTATATATGTTGATTTTGGACGTCATTTGTGAGTTGATTATAGTGGTATGTTGATCTTATGTGTTATATATGTTTTGAATTATGTGTAGGTATTATGAAAATTGGAGTAAATAGAAGGAGGCTGTCAATTGTTTTTAAAAATGTTACAGGTTTTCGGCGGCTAACCAATGGTCTGACCGCCGGAAACTTCAATACCATACCCTTATTTTAACCATCGGGATTTTAATATAGCCACCGTTAAATACCGGCGGTTAACTAGCGACTTGACCGCAGGTAAAACTGGCATTTTAGATAGCCAGTAAGCCGCTAGTAATTAATCGGAGGTCACCAGTGCTATGAACACCGAAAATTACCGGTTGTTTATGCCGCCGAAAAACCGCCATTAAAATTAACCTCCAGAAATTAACCGCCGCAATTCATTTCCTACGCGCTTTATACCGACTGTTTATAAACAGCCGGTAGTTTGCAAAACTGCCAGAAAATTAATGCTAACCGTCAGTAATTGATAATTTTCTAGCAGTGAAGCATAGCTTCTATAAATTATTACAATAATAAATCTATATAAGTAAAAACAACTAACAATTATACATGTCAAAATATTACATAATATTCATTCTCCCAAAATCAATATATAATAGCTAGGAGACCAATACAATCATTAATCTATTAGAAACTCCTAACTACAAAAAAATAAAGAAAAATATAAATAAAATTAAAAGAAAATCTGAGGATGTCTGTCATTCTTACTCTAAGTGGTATTTACATCTTTCTTGACATAAAATCATTAAAATTAATAAAACGAGCTAAAAAGCTCAGTAGTAATAAAAAACTCGCGAAAGCTTTCAATGCAATAACTAAAAAATTAATATTAAATGCTCAGTCTAATATAATAAATAGCAGTCAATATAGTTAATTATCAAATATTATCAATTAAATTAAAAATGATCAATAATAAAAGAAAAAATTATTACAATGACTTTAAAAAGTAATAATTGGTAGAAAATTCAATAAATCAATAAAATAATGATGCATAAATTATTTATAAATTATTTTAAAAATTATATCTTATATATTCTTATACATAATTTATTTATGTATTATCACTTCATCTAATACTGTTAATCATATTAATATATCTATCAATATAATCAATGCTTTTAATGTATGTATGCATCAACATATGACTTAGCAAGGCAGGATAGGGGTGTAAGTGAGTCGAGCCAGCTTGAGCTTGACTCGTATATGGGCTCGCGAGCCGAGCTTCGAACCTCAAGAGTCGAACTCGAGCTCGAGTACCAGGTCACTTGTATATAGAAAACCCACTAGTGGATCCTTTCATACTAGAATGCTCGTGTTTTCCTCTTTTGCTAGGGTTCCACGTAAAATTCTAGTGTTATTTTTTACTTCGTTTGGGCTGGATTCGTACAACATTGAGACAAAAAATATAACTTCTATCACCGTGTATATAATTCAGCTCGCAACAATAAGGAATTAGATTTGCATAAATAGGGTTGTTGAAACTGATAGGGTCATTTATGATTGTATTTTATGGTGTAAATGAAATTAGAGGATGTATAAATATAGGATTACAAAATGGTTGTTTTGTTGGTATTTTTTCAAGTTTTTAAATTTGTTTTGCGACCAATATCATTAAAAAGAATGGCCGATCCGATCGATTTTAAAATTGCATTATGTTTTATAGAAGCAGGATTTAAGCTGCTAAGGAGATGTGTTTTAGCTGCATTATGAGTGGAGTGTTAAAATAAATTATAGGGTTATAAAATCTGCGTTTGGATAGACCTGTCAATTCGGTACGGGTCGGGTTCGTCAAACCCGAAATTGACTCCGTATTATTGTTCGGGTCGACCCGACCCGTTTTTAAAGGGTCGATTTTCTGGACCCGAACCCGACCGCTTCGGGTTCGGGTCAACCCGACCCGACCGCTAAAGCCTGACGTGACGCAGAACCGCTGCGAGTTGACTGACGCCGCTGCCGGAAGCCCAAACGTGACGCAGGAGAAAGTCAGAACTTTGCCGCGTGAGCTGCGCGGCACGGGCGGCCCATCGGGTCACACACGGCAGTGCCACATCTGTTGAGTTATCCCTTGAGTCGTGAAGACGATGGACTCGCAGGCTCGGAGACCCATCCGGTGAAAGCGAGGAGGAATGCGGCGCTAGCGCACTGGGCAAGCACGCGGACGACAAACTCGCACACGACACGCGACCACGCGTACAGCGGGATGCTAGAAGCGGATGCGAGCAGGCAGCGGGTACATAGAGGCAAGGACGAGACAGGGGCCAGCGAGGCAGAACCAAATAGAGAAACAAAAGAAAGCAGCGGAAAGAAACAAATATAAAACTTTTAAAATCTACAAAATCGAGAGTTTCTGTGACCCAGGAAACCGCATTCGGGTCACACCCGAACCCAGACCCGTTTTGCCAAAACGGTCGGATTATCACGACACAGAACCAACCGACCGATTCGAGTTCGGGTCAACCCCAACACGGAACCATTCCAGAATGTCGGTATCGGTATTACGGGGCTTTTCGCGAATCGGGATCAAATATCTCTGACAGGAGTAACTACGATCCTTGGTTATGACAATACTATTCAAATGTAATGGAATTAATATATGCAATGCAAAACACTCATATGTCGTATTATTCATGACATATCTCTGAAATAGAAACTCATTTATAGTCGAGTAAATTTCCAAGAAATACTTACCAGCTTCGGTAGAGTATGAAAGGATACTGGCCACGCCATCTTATTCGTATTTATCGACGCATAACTAGTACCGTAAAAATCGACCAACACACAGCCCTTTTTAAAAATGATTACTCATTTAATATGAATGAACAATTACTAAATCTTTAGCTATCTTGTCGAAGAGAGGAGGAAGGAAAAGGAGAAGGTAACTATTCGGAGATATTTACCTATAATAATTTGCTCATTATCTATATTTTTGTATTAATACACGCTACATACAAAT